TATATATATATATGTGTGTGTGTGTGTGTGTGTGCAGGCACGTCAGCAGCAGGAGGAGGCGGCGCGGCTGCTGAAGGAGCAGCAGGAGGAGGCGGCGCGGCAGGCAGCTCAACAGGCTAAGAAGGAGAAAGAGGCGCAGAAAAAAGCCATTAAGAAAGAGCGGCAGAAACTCCGCATGACCTGCAAGGCAAGAAGCGTTTAGTGTCCACCTTGTACACACATTTTTCACCAGAACAACTGGCAGACCTGCAATTTAAGACAGCACATGCAATTACAATAAACACCAGCAAATGAAGAAAAGGTGTTTGACAGCATACGTGTTGCATTTTCTCACAATGCAAACAAATTAAGATTATTATTGAATATACCTGTAACATAAACATTCTTTGTGAATTTATGCATTAAGTTTTACTGCAAATGTCAGATCTGTAACGCTGGAATTGCTCCTCTCTTATTCCCACAGAGCCAAAACTACTTCACAGACAATGAGGCGGACAGCGTGAGGATGATGGAGGAGGTGGAGAAGCTCTGCGACCGCTTGGAGCTCATCAGGTCAATACACTGCCTCAAAAACACCCAAACATCAAACATGTGATGCTAACTTTAATTCTGCGAGGAATTCATGGTCACACTTTATTTTAATGTACAATTCACACTATTAACAAACCATTAACTCTTTCCCTGCCATTGAAGAAATAACTCGTCCATTAAGAGAAAATGCTTACCAGCCATTGATGTGTGTGTGTGTGTGTGTGTGTGTGTGCATAATATACTATATACATTTAATATTGAACTATTTTTTAGATGTTCTCCAATGCATTTCAAATATGTAGGATTTTTGCTGAAACATTTTATACCCTTTCAAGTGGGTATAAAACATGAACAGATGAGGATAGAATGTTTTGTTTTGTTTGAAAGCAGGGGCTTGGTCCTTTGTTTTGTTGTATATTATGCTCATATATTCCGAGTAGAAACGTTTCTGAGGGTCGTCAAATATAGGTAGAAATCCTCAAAAAGGCAATTCTTGCAGGGAACTACGACTCTCAGCTCAATAAGCTACTAATTAGCTGCTTATTAATAGTTATTAAAGGGTCACGAAACACCAAAACACATGTGTTTTGAGCTGTTGACAGTCGTATATGTGTCCCACACTGCTAAAAACACTATTAGGACGCCTACATTTCACTAAAAAGTGTAAATTGGTTGTTTTTGCGTTATTTCAAGCAAATTCGTACTTCCTGTTTGAAACAAATTTTTGAAGCTGCGTCACGGTCATGACATAATAGTGTGTATTCCAGCGTGCAGACTGGGCGTCTGTGCCAGAGTGTGTCTTATTACGTCTTACAGTGTGCTGCATTAATGCATGAGTAAAGCTTGGTTCAAACCAATCAGCGCGCTCTATTGTGCAACTTCATTAATATTCATTACTGTCACAGTGTTTAGACGACAGAGACGCCACGTTGTGTTGGCAAAACAAGCGTGAAGTGTTGCTTTTATAGTTTGCTGCAGTGAAGTTTTGTTTTCATTTTCTCTCTGTGAGAGCGCAGCTGGAGTCACGTGTGGATTAACAGTGTACGCGACGCTCGACAACAATAACTTGCGTGTCTAAGGATGATTATTGTTTACCTGATAGCTGTTCTCATCTGCAAATGCTGAAATCTGGATTCGCTTGTAGTCTCCTCTTCATAAAGACGCGGCTCTAGTTGCTGGTGATTGTCCTGTCTCTACAGATTTGGTAAGTGAGCGACCAGTGCTCTTTGTTTATTCAGTTTGTTCGTATCGAATTAAGTTAACTATTGCACTGAGTGCAGAAATGTTAGCACCGCATTTAGTGACCAGAATAACACACGCGGCTTTCTGACGCTACCTGCCGTGTGCATCTAAGTTTCCGGGAAATGCAGAGTTTTTTTTTCTCTCATTCGCAGTGCGGTATCAAACATTGCATGAAAAATACACACTTAGAGCAGCTCCTCGAATCAAATATCGCGTTTGTCGCGAGGGGCATGAATGAATTCCCTGAATGAAAGAGCCAAACTGCAGTTAAAGTCCAACATTTAATAATTTGGCAAATAATTCGACTGCAGATGTCCATGTAGGTTAAACATCATCACTTTCTCCTGTCTGTGTGTGTGAGTATTTTGACTCTGAAACTCGTGCGTGCACAAATAGACACTCCCACACCATCCCACTTTTCTTCCTCCGACACTCCCCCCTAAATAGAGCTGGACACGCCCACTTTTCTGACTTTTTCCAAAGTAGAGGTGTGAAAACACCCTGCTGAAACGAGGGGGTTTCATGGCCCTTTAAGGTAGTAGTTGGATGTTGAATAAGATCATACTTTAAGTGTTAATAAACAGTTCATATCTTAATAATAGGCTGGTAATAAGATAGTTGAAAATGGTGTGGATTGTGACTAAAAATAAAGTGTTGCTGAATTGCTTTTATTCAATTTTCTACACCTAATACAGTTTTTAGGACTGTCCAAATACACTTTTAGAGTTTTTAGCATAAACAAATAGTAAAACCTGTCGCAGTATTTTAAAATTCTTCTTTTCACTTATAAAGCTTTGCACAATTCTGCCCCGGCCTATGTCAGCGAGCTTATTAGGCCATATACAGCTTTTAGACTCTTAAGATCCCATGATCAGTTTCTTTTGTCTGTCCCTCGGTCTCGCTGCAAGTCAAAGGGTGATCGAGCTTTCAGTGTTGCGGCCCCAAGGCTCCCTCTGAACATCAGAATCTCTCCTTCTTTGGATGCTTTTAAATCTAACTTAAAGACACATTTTTACTCTCTTGCCTTTGACTGATGCATGCATGTTATTTTTTATTATTTATATTTTAGTATTTTAAATATATTTCATTGTATTTTTAATGCCAGTTATTTTTAGTTTTATTGTCTAGTTTATTTTTTTGTAAAGCTCTTTGGATCAACTACGGTTGTGTAAAATTGTGCTCTGTAAATAAAGTTTGCCTTGCCAGTATACTTTTGCTCGCAATAAAAATAGCCATAGAAGCTGGCACAGCGCTAAACACAAACATCAAAGCGTTGCTTGTGCTGGTAAAGACATTTCTGAAAAGATTGGGAATATTGACTCTTTGTTTTGTTTTTGTTTGTAGTTTGCAGACGCTCAATGAAGCTTTGTCTGCTGGCAATAAAGAGCAGAGTAAAGCAGCTCTGGAGAAACAGGTGAGACACTGCAAACACCTAACCAGTCAGAACGCAGCCTGTATTTGCTGTGTGCAGTTCATCTGTGCATTTATTCAGATATTTGGGGTCAGTAATTTCTGTTTTTGATCGTCTTTCTCTTACTGAAGCTGCATTTATCTTATCAAAAATACCAAAAATTTTTAATATTATTATTACCATTTAAAGTAACAGTTTTTTGTGTTTAGTTTTTAAAATGCCATTTATTCAACTGAATTTATCAATATTTGTTTTTATATGCGTGTTTTAGTGCATGTGTGTGTTTGTGCATGATTTGTGCATGTGTGTATTTGTGCATGTGTGTATTTGTGCATGTGTGTATGTGTATTTGTGTATGTGTGTATTTGTGCATGTTTGTACGTGTTTTTGTGCATGTGTGTATTTGTGCATGAATTGTGTGTATGTTTTTGTGTATGTGTGTATTTGTGCATGTGTGCATTTGTGCATGTGTGTATTTGTGCATGTGTGTGTGTGTTTTTGTGCATGTGTGTATTTGTGCATGAATTGTGTGTATGTTTTTGTGCATGTGTGTGTTTGTGCATGAATGTATGCGTTTTTGTCCATGTATGTGTTTTTGTGCATGTGTGTGTTTGTGCATGAATGAATGTGTTTTTGTGCATGTGTGTATTTGTGCATGAATTTATGTGTTTTTGTGCATGTGTGTGTTTGTGCATGAATGTATGTGTTTTTGTGCATGTGTGTATTTGTGCATGAATGTATGTGTTTTTGTGCATGTGTGTATTTGTGCATGAATGTATGTGTTTTTGTGCATGTGTGTATTTGTGCATGAATGTATGTGTTTTTGTGCATGTGTGTATTTGTGCATGAATGTATGTGTTTTTGTGCATGTGTGTATTTGTGCATGAATGTATGTGTTTTTGTGCATGTGTGTATTTGTGCATGAATGTTTGTGTTTTTGTGCATGTGTGTGTTTGTGCATGAATGTTTGTGTTTTTGTGCATGTGTGTGTTTGTGCATGAATGTATGTGTTTTTGTGCATGTGTGTATTTGTGCATAAATGTATGTGTTTTTGTGCATGTGTGTATTTGTGCATGAATGTATGTGTTTTTGTGCATGTGAGTGTTTGTGCATGAATGTATGTGTTTTTGTGCATGTGTGTATTTGTGCATAAATGTATGTGTTTTTGTGCATGTGTGTGTTTGTGCATGAATGTATGTGTTTTTGTGCATGTGTGTATTTGTGCATGAATGTTTGTGTTTTTGTGCATGTGTGTGTTTGTGCATGAATGTATGTGTTTTTGTGCATGTGTGTATTTGTGCATGAATGTTTGTGTTTTTGTGCATGTGTGTGTTTGTGCATGAATGTATGTGTTTTTGTGCATGTGTGTATTTGTGCATGAATGTTTGTGTTTTTGTGCATGTGAGTGTTTGTGCATGAATGTTTGTGTTTTTGTGCATGTGTGTATTTGTGCATGAATGTTTGTGTTTTTGTGCATGTGTGTATTTGTGCATGAATGTTTGTGTTTTTGTGCATGTGTGTATTTGTGCATGAATGTTTGTGTTTTTGTGCATGTGTGTGTTTGTGCATGAATGTATGTGTTTTTGTGCATGTGTGTATTTGTGCATGAATGTTTGTGTTTTTGTGCATGTGTGTATTTGTGCATGAATGTTTGTGTTTTTGTGCATGTGTGTATTTGTGCATGAATGTTTGTGTTTTTGTGCATGTGTGTATTTGTGCATAAATGTATGTGTTTTTGTGCATGTGTGTTTGTGCATGAATGTTTGTGTTTTTGTGCATGTGTGTATTTGTGCATGAATGTTTGTGTTTTTGTGCATGTGTGTGTTTGTGCATGAATGTTTGTGTTTTTGTGCATGTGTGTGTGTTTGTGCATGAATGTATGTGTTTTTGTGCATGTGTGTGTGTTTGTGCATGAATGTATGTGTTTTTGTGCATGTGTGTGTGTTTGTGCATGAATGTATGTGTTTTTGTGCATGTGTGTGTTTGTGCATGAATGTATGTGTTTTTGTGCATGTGTGTGTTTGTGCATGAATGTATGTGTTTTTGTGCATGTGTGTGTGTTTGTGCATGAATGTATGTGTTTTTGTGCATGTGTGTGTTTGTGCATGAATGTATGTGTTTTTGTGCATGTGTGTGTTTGTGCATGAATGTATGTGTTTTTGTGCATGTGTGTGTTTGAGCATCTATGTTTGTTGTGCAAATGTTTGTGTTTGTGTATCTATGCATGTTTGTGTTTGTACATGCATTTATCTGCGTGTTTGTCCATGATGCAGGTGCAGGAGGTGAACATGCAGCTGCAGAAGGAGAAGGATGCAGAGCTGCAGGCTCAGCAGGCAGCGCGTGGCTCTGAACACAGCAGTGCAGCAGGAGGACAAAACAACAGAGGCTGGAGCGAAGAAGACCTGCAGCTGCTCATCAAAGCCGTCAACCTGTTTCCTGCTGGAACAAACGCCAGGTGAGTGCGCGTGTGTGTGACTGCGCTATGTTGATCATGACCCCTGTGTGACCTTCTCTAACACCTGTGTGACCTTCTCTGTGATTGACAGGTGGGAGGTGATCGCTAACTACATGAACCAGCACTCCAGCAGCGGCGTCAGGAGAACCGCCAAAGACGTCATCAATAAAGCCAAAACACTGCAGAAACTGGGTACGTCATCAGCTGTGTGTGTTAGTGTGCGTATGTGTTTGTGTGAGTGTTCTTCATTTGCTTTATTTTCATTTTAGATCCGCACCAGAAAGATGAGATTAACCGAAAGGCCTTTGAGAAGTTTAAGAAGGAGCATTCAGCCGTTCCTCCCACTGTAGACAACGCCATGCCGTCAGAGCGATTCGATGGTGAGACGTTACTTTATTAATCGTGTATATATAGTATACATTCACTATATTTAGTGGCTATTTATTTAGATATATTATGCATCCAGCACACACACGTCCGTCATTGTGAACACACACACATTTGTGCAGCTGTAGGTGCAGACTCGAACGCTGCCGCCTGGACCACAGAGGAGCAGAAGCTTCTGGAACAGGCTCTGAAAACCTACCCGGTGAGCACGGCCGAGCGCTGGGAGAGGATCTCTGAGGCGGTGCCCGGACGCTCCAAGAAAGACTGCATGAAGAGATATAAAGTGAGCAGATCCAGCCTTCAGCATCATTTACAGCACACTGCATTGCAAATATTCAGGGCAGAAGTTTGCACACTAAATTAGATATTCAATATAGATGTCTGCACGATAAAAAGGAGGAAGTGATTTTTTTTGCATCAAAATGTAGATATACAGGGAAGACTTATACGTACTAAAATGTACATTTTTGCACTAAATTTAATATTCAGGGTAGATTTTTGCACACTAAGTGGTAGTTTTGTTTGCGTACTAAGATGCATACTTTTTGCTGACTAAAATGCAGATTTTCAGAGTAGACATTTGCATGCTAAAATGCAGATTTTCAGAGTAGACATTTGCATGCTAAAATGTAGATTTTTGCACACTAAATTAGATATTTAGGTTAAAAAAAAATTTTAGCATACCAAAATATTTTTTTTCACACTAAAATGCAGATATCCAGGGTAGATTTTTGCACACTACAGTGTATTTTTTTCTTTTTATATTCTTTTTATATTATTTTATATTATATTTTATATTCAGGGTATTTTTTACTGGACAAGTTCTTGGAAAAAAACTCAGCATGGAGGTTAGTTGAGTAAAACACTGCATTATGAAGCTTTGTGAATCAGTGATGGAAGATTCATGGTAATGAACCGCTCTTTTTAACTGGATCTTCTTAGTGTTTGGTCAGTTCACCAAATCAAACTGAATTATTTGCATCTCTAGTATGCACTTACAAATTACTTACTTTTTAACATACCTGATACTAGGCATGGGACGATAACCAGTTTTAAGGGTGTAAAAACCACAAAAATATTAATCATTGAATTTAATAGTAATGAATTCTACAGTACATGACACTGCAGCACAGTACAGCGCGATCCAAATATTTTTTGCACACTGTAATGTATATTTGCTGCGCACTAAAATGTAGATATTTATAGTAGACATTTGCACACTAAATTAGATACTCAGGTTAGTTTATTTGCACACTAAAATATAGATTTTGCACTCTGTATATCAAGGGTAGATTTTTTTCACACTGAAATTTAGATTTTCACACTGAAATGTTGATGTCTTGCGCACTAAAATGTAGATATTTAGGGTAGACATTTGCACACTAAAATGTAGATTTCTGCATCTAAATTCGATATTCAGGTTAGTTTCTTTTGCACACTAAAATGTGGATTTTGCACTATTTATCAAGGGTAGATATTTTTCACACTGAAATGTTGATTTTGCACACTGAAATGTTGATTTTTGCACACAATGTAGATATTTAGGTTAGACACTTGCACACTAAGATCATACTTTAAATCCTCCAAAATTCTCCATTTTCTGCATGATTGTGTTTACATGCAGTAACAAAAGTAGAATTAAAATGGTGCAAATATATTATTAAATTATTCCAGTTAGTTGTAGTAATAAATATATCTAACACGCAATAATTCGAGCTGATACCAAGAGCATACGACAGAAAAATGACAATAGGAATTGTCAAATAAGTTAGCGTTAAAATAGTGACAAGTAAATAGTAAATACTGATAATCATTATTTATAAATGAAATGTATATTACAATATTGTGCCACACAGTTGTTCCATAATTTTATTTGTATTATGTAGCATTTTGTTTAAATTATTTATATTTATTAATACTTATATTTCATATTGATCTAAACATGAAATGATTTGATATAAATGCATTTCCTCTTCCTGGTCAGCCTGCATGTACTATAATAAGAGTGTTACAGATAGATTATTATTGTTTTCTTTAATTCATTGTTATTCATATTTAAATTAAAAACACTATTAAATAATAAACAACACATAAAAATATCAGAAATGTATATTTTTTCCTCTGTTCCTGCAGGAGCTGGTGGAGATGATAAAGGCTAAGAAAGCGGCACAGGAACAGGTCGCTGCTAAAAACAAAAAATGACAAAACACACACACACACACAACCTGGTCTTTTAACTTTATTTGTGTTGTTCTTTATTTTATAATAAAATAAACATGGAAAAAAGCAGATCTGGAGCTCTGTGGCCTGTGTTGAGTGTTTACCAGCACATGCCATTGCGGATGCTGTTATAATCCAGCAGCTGCTCGATGGGTCCTGCAGACGGTCAATAATTGGTGTGTTTAATTAGGGAGAATATCAAACACTTCATTACTACCAGTGTTGGGTTAACAGATAAGTCATATATTACAATCTTAAGCCTATCTTAATATTTTAAAGAAGGCAAACATAACATAACACACACTTTCACATTACTATCCTTAAAAAAGTAACTGATATTACAACCATACACCAATCTCAATCTTTAAAAACTGGCAGAAATATTATAAAATATACTTTCACATTACTTTTATTTAAAAAGTAACACATTTAGTCACTTTTTCCATTTAAAAATGGACTTAAGATTGTGATGTTATGACCTTTTTTTAACATTCTCGATTGTTTTTAAAGGAGAATGAACAGAACAAAGAGTTAAATTCAATTTATTTGTACACCAATAACAATGTAACACTAAAATAAGAGTCCATTAGTTTATTTATTTACTAACATCAACAAACAACGGATAATAGAGAATTTAATCATGCAGGTTAATATTTAAGTTGTTGATTGTTAGTTCATGTTAACTCGTTGTGCATTATCTAGCGCTGTTAATAATGCATTAGTAAATGTTAAACTATAATTAATGCATGCTGTTCAAGATTGTTCAAGTTAGTAAATGCATGAACTAATGGACCATTATTTCAAAGTGTTACCCAAATTACTATATCATCCTTTTACATCTGAACTATTTACTCTGTCTGAGTAACAAGAAAAAAGTAATATATTATATTTAAAAGTCTGTTAACCCAACACTGAAGAGCACAGAGTGAAGACGTCCACTTACCCACAGCTGCAATAGCAGGAGCTTTATTATAGATGTATTTCAGACACACGTCCTTTATAGTCGTGGCGTTAATGGCCTGAGGAAAGAAATGGGCAGATTTAAGCTGGATTTGGACACACACTGGCTCTCATTCACTTGTAATCAGTAACTAATACTAATTTTTAACTGAGAATAAGTCTATTTTTAATATTTCTAACGAAAACTTTCTGCTTAATTCACAAATCGTGCACATGTGCTTGAGTTAATATAGTGAACATGAATTGTTTTCAGAAAGCGTCCTTGTGCACTATATTACTCATTTGCATAATACACGCCCACATTACATTTACATTTAGTCATTTAGCAGACGCTTTTATCCAAAGCGACTTACAAATGAGGACAAGGAAGCAATTTACACAACTATAAGAGCAACAATGAATAAGTGCTGTAGGCAAGTTTCAGGTGTGTAAAGTGTAAGAAGTAAAACATTAGTAATTTTTTTTGTAGTTAGTGGAGGAGTTAGAGAGGGAATTGCAGATTAGGAAGTGGAGACTAAATAGTTGAGTTTTTAGTGGTTTCTTGAAGACAGCGAGTGACTCTGCTGTACTGATGCAGTTAGGGAGTTCATTCCACCAACTGGGCAGATTGAACGCGAGAGTTCGGGAAAGTGATTTCTTCCCTCTTTGGGATGGAACCACGAGGCGACGTTCATTCACTGAACGCAAGTTTCTGGAGGGCACATACATCTGCAGAAGTGAGAGCAGATAAGAAGGAGCAAAGCCAGAAGTCGCTTTGTAAGCAAACATCAGAGCTTTGAATCTGATGCGAGCAGCAACTGGCAGCCAGTGCAAACGGATGAGCAGCGGAGTGACATGTGCTCTTTTAGGTTCATTAAAGACCACTCGTGCTGCTGCGTTCTGAAGAGGTTTGATAGAGTTAGCTGGAAGCCCGGCTAGTAGAGAGTTGCAATAGTCCAGTCTGCACATTAGCTCCATATAAGGGCAGAAATCGACAGAGATAATTATAAGAAGTCAAATTATGAATTAGGAAGAGACAATTATGGCACCCAAACAAACAGTAATAGAGTTTATTTTTGATGTCGGCTGCTTTCAGTTCTGAAAAGGCGAGGTGAAACACTGCATTTTTGTTGACTTTAGATAAGAGCTTTTTTTTATAATCCAAAACACTTGATGCCAATAGAAAACCATTTAAAAGGCACCTCTTAGCTTAATCTCATTATATATAAGGTTTTTTTAATCGTGCATGGATGATTATTGTGTATTTGTTGTTATAGATTTTTTTTTTTTTGTAGATGTTAGTATGATTGTTTTGATGAATCATGATTTATTTTTGAAACATCTGTCCGTACGTGCATTTTTGCATTTCGTGCATTTTCGTGCATTTATTTTTCTAAAGAGAGAATCAAATGTTTACGCACGTCTATTCTGGCCTCGAGCTCGTGCAGAGGAATCCTGCGACTGTAGCACAGCATCTGACGCCCGATGTCCTCACAGATGGGTGTGGATCCTGCACACACATGCATCACACAGCGTCACACACACACATCATATGTGAGCACGCACACTTCACACATCTCTACACAGACAGATGCACACAGACACACTGATCTGGCACTGACCGTCCAGGTGAAGCAGCATGTTGGTCTTCAGCAGGTTCTTGGCTCTGTTCACTTCACTTTCAGTCACACTCGTGCACAGAGACTTCCTGAAAGCAAACGTGTGTTCATTACCGGAAATGATCGGCCCTCGTTTGTGTCAAATTTTTTATTATTTTACAAACAACGAAGAGTTTTTTTTCTTCAACATTTTCAAACCGTAGCTTCATTAAATCATTTCTAATGGCTGATTGCTTTTGTCTTTGCCATGATGACAGTAAATAATATTTGACTAGATATTTAAGAGCTTATAAAATATTCCTGAACTCGCAGAACTCTGAGGTTCACTTCTCACCATTCCAGCTGAGTGAATCGGATCATGTCGTGGACGGTTCCCGGCTCACACACCATGTAAAGCCCCCACAGGCCTGTGTCTGTGTAGCAGGTGTTGAAGGACTGGAAGCTGTGGCACAGGTTCCCCTGGCAGGACATCTGGGCCAGTTTACTGGACAAGTTCTGCAAAAAAAAAAACTTGCTTTGGTTAGCTGAGCGAACACTGCGTTATGAAGCTTTGTGAATCAGTGATGGACGATACACGAATGAATCATTGTTTTTAACCAGATCTTCAGTGTTTGGTCAGTTCACCAAATCAAACTGTTTAAACCAGGGGTCACCAATCTCGGTCCTGGAGGTTCGGTGTCCCTGCAGGGTTTAGCTCCAACTTGCCTCAACACACCTGCCTGGATGTTTCAGGTATACCTAGTAAGACCTTGATTAGCTTGTTCAGGTGTGTTTGATTAGGGTTGGAGCTAAAATCTGCAGGACACCGGCCCTCCAGGAACAAGTTTGGTGATCCCTGGTTTAAACAGTTTGCATCTCCAGTAAGCACTTATCCACAAATTACTTAGGGCCTACTCACACTATGCCATCCGTACCATGCCCAGACCCGTTTACCGGATCAGGAAGTGTGAGTGCGCTGAATCGGGCTCAAGCTCAGTTCACCTGGCCGGCCCTGGCCCGGTTGGAAGAGGTGGGCCTGAGCGCGGTTCACTTGGGCCCGAAACTGAAAGCTAGACGTGATTTTAAGGGACTGTTTGATATGATTTATTAATCATTCTTACTGTTCAGTAAACGCAAACTGCCGTAGTTTATTAAAGACGCAAACCCCTCACTGCACGACAGCTGCACCTTCAGCAGACCTCCTCATTCCTGCAGCACGAGAGCTTTATGATTATGAGCGCCAAAAGTGGCGGATCTGTTTGGTGAAATATCTGACTGCGTTTCACCGCATCTCTAAGGACTGTTTGGCGAAATATCTGACTGCATGTCACTGCATATCAAACCACTGAAACGATATAACTACAGAAATCTCCACTGTGCTGCTGATTGACAGTGCTTCTCACTGAACAGTGCAGCAGCGATGACATAAGCGTGCCGAGGCCCGATTGTGGAGTGAGTGCGGGCCGTCGGGGGAGACGGGAGGGGGGACAAGCGTGCTTTGGCCCGGTTTGAGGCAACTGTATCTAGTGTGAGTCTGGCCTTACTCTTTAACATGCCTGATACTAGGCATGAGACGACTATTATGTTCAAAAATGTGTTTTCTCTCTGTTAAACAACACTTGAGAAATGTAAATGTTTTAATAAAAATTTCACAGTAGGTTGAATAATTAAAAAACCCTTAATGGCGTAATTTAGTTCTTCAGAATAATTTTCAGCACATTGAGTCTCTATTCAGCATTGAGTGAAGATCTCACCATTCCTCCGCCGAGCGAGCGGTCCCAGTTCCCGATCAGTGTGTTTGCCACCATCAGAGGAATGGTGTCTGGATGAGACCAGCCGACCGCCTCCACGGCCACTGCGATATGAGCCAGAGGCATCTTATCATCACGCACACGAATCTGGAGAAAACACGCGGTAAGACTTTTAAAAATCTTAACTTGCTTCAAAGTTTTATTGTATAAAAAAAAAAAAAGTTGATTAGAAGTGCATTACTGTAACGCTTGATTTTGTCCATTAGTGCTGTTTAATGATCATGACTACATCCTTCAAAATAAAAGTTTGTATTTACATATTGTGCATGTATTGTGTAAATTTAATATGTATATAAATGCAGATGCATACATTTATATATCTTTTTATTATATTTTTATTAAAATAAATATAAATTACAAATAAACATTGTACATGTTTTATTTTTATAAATAAAAAATTGTGCGTGTGTGTATATATGTGTGTGTGTGTATATATATATATATATATAAACAAAATTCTATACATGTAATCATGGATACAAGATAAATATACACAGTACACAAAATTATGTAAACTGACTTTTATTTTGTATTTGATTAATGATTTATCAGCACTAATGTCAAAGTAAATATATGCATATTTTTCATCATTTTATATTCTAACAAAGTAAGTTTCAAGCTCGATTAAAAAATGTGTACAAAAATTTTTCACTCAGAAATGTCTGGTAAATTTCACTAATGGTAAATGCGTACACACTAAATTACACCTGGTTGATTG